TTTCCATATTGTTGAGCTTTTCCATCTTTGCTTAAGTGATTGTGTAAATAAGGTATATTCCAATTTGCACTATACTGATTACTGGTAAAGGTAAATATCTTTCTGTATGTTTTGGCCATTTGAATCTGTCAGCTCTCTATTCATAATAGTGGATCATTGTTTCTTTCTTATTTTTAAGGGTGCTTTCTATATTGTGGATATTAACTCTTTTGGTTGTATGGTAGAGTTTCATTTGACATATCTAAATTCTGCCACATTAAATTTTATAAGAAATAAAAACTAAAAGACTGATTTTTTATACAGTGTGATACCTGAACATAAGTAGCATATATAATCTGACATCAAAGCTTTGGTATGGGCAAATTCAGGAGGGCTTTTTCAAGTATATTTTGGACTCTAGACAGTTTACGAGCGTAAACCCTTGGCCAGGGTAAGGTGCTGCTTTAATGTTTGCTACAGATATTTCCACCAAGCCTTTTCGTTAATCACTTAATTTTGTTTATGGATGGTGTCTTTCTTCATGTACAAGTTTTATTTTTATGTGGTCAGAGTTATTCTTTTCCCTTCAGCTTCTGGGTCTTACATGTTATAATTAGCAATATCTTTCCCTATAGTCCAAGATTATAAAATGCTCTGTGACTTTTTCTGATGCTATTGTTTCCTATTCCGCAATAATATAATATCCCAACCTTTTAATTTATTTTAATATATTCAGTTTTTCTTAAATAGTTTTCCCTCATAGTGTATCGCATTTTCGTTGCTGTTATTTATTCCTCATTGATGCTTTGTCTGTATAAACTAAAAGAGAAATATAATCAATGATGAATTTTATACCCCTGACCTTAGCAGGGAAACAAAAATTGTGAGAGTCACCAAGCACACACTGTTGCATTTCCTTATCTTGTCTGCTAAAACAGGCTTTTGGCCTTGAGAGGACCATGTCCTGAGACTTGCATATAAACACCTGCATTCATGGACTCTGTATTTCGTAATATCACAAGTAGACTAGGACTACAGCTTTGGGCTATATTTTGGGGAGGCATTAGCTAAGTGGTTATTCCTCTGCAGTTTCTTCTTTCGAGTGATAGAGATTGAAACTCATGCCTCTATAGAAGTAAATTATCCTGTGATGTGGGCCTTTGGGTACTTCGTGAGTAGTTGATATACAAATTAAATGTAAAAATACATAAGGGTTTTTTGTACACTTAGATTTAAGCAACCAATCTTAGTATAAAAGGTTTTATATTGTCCTTTGGCATGTGATTTCCCCCACTCCTATGTGGTCAGACTAAGAAACATTCATTAAATCTGGGGCATATCAATTTCTTGTTTCACAGTGATGTTATTAACTATCATTAACACTCAATTACACACGATTTTCTTGGTGGTTACTTAGTAATATTGAGAAATTTTACATCGTAAGGTTTTCCATGAAGTAATAAGTTGAAGGGTTAGTGGTAAGATTGATTGTTGTATTAGGAGATACACAGGAAAATCTTCTATCTAAAGCTAATATATAACCATAGATAAAATTGATTTCTAATGTTAGATTTCAAAAGGAATATAACTATTTTCACTTTTTTCATGAGCATCCTTGGAGTTTTTAAGGCCACTAATACCATTTTACCTGCCCCCCCATAGCTTCCTTATGACTCCCACAACTAATCATAACTATAGCACATTTTCCTGTCTTGACAGATTACTCTACCGTTACCATATCACATGTAACATTACACTGAGAATGTCTCTCAAATGGTGGACTGTTAGTAAGTCCTTTCAGTAAGCATAAAAAGCCATTTGTGCATAAAATAAGGCAGATCCGGATGAAATAGATATCTTTCCACTGATAAATAGCAATAGTTTATAGTCAGGTCATTTTATAACAGTTCCTTTCCAAATCACCTGAACCTCAAAATGCCTTGTTTTTTTCTTTTGTGGATGATTGAATTACAGTATAGTGGTTTTTACGCTGTTTCGTGGGTCTTCATCCTGGGCTGCTGCAAAGATGAGGGAATTGCATGCCTATTCAGAACATTGCTTTTCAAACATTTTATATACTTTTGAGCTTTATCTAAGTTTTTGTTTTGGGGGCAAGAAGGTAGTAGGCTACTAAGAAAAAAAATCCTAAAATTTGCGCTATAAACTGTTTCCTTTTAGGGAGTAATGTAATTTTAGTATTTCTTTGAGCTTGCACTAATTACTAATGGTTTGGGACTTTAAGAGAAGTCTTACTCCTGTCCCAAAGCTGAGCTTTTTTAAGGTAAAATAATCTCATTGCTACATTGTTATCTTATTTTTAATGATGTTGGAACAGTTACTAAATAATTTGTCCATTCAGTAGTCACCCTTACTGATTTATGTTGTATTGATTCTCTTGGTATAAACTTGTTCTTTTTTGGTTGTAATCTCAAAGCACTTCCCATGTAATATTTTTTTACCTCCAAGTATTATACCTTTGAAGTGATTTTTCCTTGTGAACCATATCTCTGTCAAGGTACAGTTGATATGTTAAAAGGAACTTCAGATCCTCTAAATTGCTCGTAACTTTTTTGGGGTGGGTTGGGGAATGGAATGGTTTTGTTTTGTTTTTTTTAATGCCAGTAACTTACTCACCATGTTGTCCCCATTTTATGCCTTTAAAATTACTGCCTTAAGCAAGATTCAACATTACAAGTTTCTGCAGTAGGTTTCCTCCTGGTCATTAATCCATCCAATCTGGTTCATGCTGCAACTTGAGTCTGTTTAGTAACCTCATCACAAGACATTTAGCTTTTTGTAAAACAAGTTTTTGTGGCTAAAGCAGTTTTCATGAGGTGGTATGATTGAAAATGTTACCTTTTGCTATTCAAAGAAGATACATGGGATTTGGATTTCTGTAGTTTAGCCTATATGTCAGTCAAAAAGATATCATTGTGATTGGGTGAATTGAGTATTTCAGTTTGCAAATATTGAAACTTAAGAAGAAGTATTTAATTTTTTTTTTTGAGACAGAGTCTCACTCTTTTGCCCGGGCTAGAGTGAGTGCCGTGGCGTCAGCCTAGCTCAACAACCTCAAACTCCCGGGCTCAAGTGATCCTTCTGCCTCAGCCTCCCGAGTAGCTAGGACTACAGGCATGCGCCACCATGCCTGGCTAATTTTTTTGTATATATTTTTAGTTGTCTGATTAATTTCTTTCTATTTTTAGTAGAGATGGGGGTCTCGCTCTTGCTCAGGCTGGTCTCGAACTCCTGAGCTCAAACAATCTGCCCACCTTGGCCTCCCAATGTGCTAGGATTACAGGTGTGAGCCACCGAGCCCGGCCAGAAGTATTTAATTTTTTAATTCTTTGAAAAGCTGTTTTACTATAGAGTGGCAGTTAAAGAGTCCTGGTTTCATTGTCAGATGCACCTAGGTTTGAACCCCATTTTTACCATTTATAACATTTGTGACATTGACCTAATTACTAAGCTCTCAGTTTTCTCATCTATAAAATGGGAATAATAGCCTCTACTTCAGACATATTAGCTAATATTTGATGAGAGTTTAGGATGTACCAGGTTTCTTCTGAATGCTTTATATGTTTATTCGTTTTAATGCTAGGATAAATATCTAAGCTATGTATTGTTATCTCACGAAGCATAGAGAGATTAAGTATTTTGCCTATGATACATATAATGAGCCCAATGCCTGGCATATAGTTAACATTTACCGTATTAGCCCTTTTGCTGAAATGAGTGGTCACTATTAAGTTTCCAAATGTATTATATTTTTAAGTAACTGACGTCTGGCACAACATTCAAAGGATCTTCTGTGGCACTTTTTTCTTTCCTCTTGTCTCCATAGCTCTTGGTGCTGGACAGGCATCTTTGTTTGGGAACAGCCAACCTAAGATCGGAGGGCCTCTTGGTACAGGAGCCTTTGGGGCCCCTGGATTTAATACTACGACAGCCACTTTGGGCTTTGGAGCCCCCCAGGCCCCAGTAGGTAAGTGTCAGTCACTTTAGAAGGCTTTACTTAGTTTATTCTTTGCTAACACTTAACTTGCTGACCTAATTTTCCACCCTACCCCATCCTGTCCCTACCAGGGCATTACATACATGTACATCATTAAATAATTCTGTAGTACAGAAGGGCTTAGTTCCTGGCCCTCCCTGCTTTTCCCACTCCTAGGCCTACTCCCTCAAAGAAACCACTTTTGTTACTGTTTTTAATTCATCTGGTATGTAATTCAGTTCCTGTTGCTAAATAATATGCTTATGTTGCTGTGTTTTGGTTTATTAAATCTAAGTAAATTTAACTTGTTATAGTAGATGAGAATTAAGCTTACTTATCACTTTTACCGTCTTTGTTTCTCCCAATATGACTGTTTGCTAAATTTATTCCATAAATTTAGTTTTATCTATTGAAGTGTTTTTCATACTTCATTCATTTGAATATTGATTCCTAATGTTGGCTATATTTGCCTACCACCCACATTTGTTATTATTTATTTCAAACTTAGGAAAATTAACTTTTTAATTTAAATATCTTAAAACTGTTACACTGTAAATAAAAAACTGGTATCACCTGGCATAAATAGAGTGTGAGATAGATGGATGGATAGAGAGAAGAAAAAAGTTAGTTTCTATACCACCAAATTTATGTTGTATACTATCATGATATATGTGCCACATTTTGAGAAACCTTTGCAAATTCAAGCTATGTACTTACATACTTATTCTGTCAACTAGGTCATAGTATTTCTTGATAGTATAATGCCCTTCCCTATCCTGCTATTTCCCTCATTTCTTCTTTTCCCCTATTTATATTTCTATATTGATAAAATGTTCTGTCCTGTAACTATTACTGTCTTCTTTGGATGAAGAATTATTTAAAAGTTCCAAATGAACACAGCATTTTATTGTAACTTACGAACACAGTGCCACCCAGCTTTTCTTTTTTTTGAGACAGAGTCTCACTCTTTTGCCCCGGCTAGAGTGTCTTGGCGTCAGCCTAGCTCACAGCAACCTCAAACTCCTGGGCTCAACCGATCCTCCTGCCTCAGCCTCCCAAGTAGCTGGGACCACAGGCATGCGCCACCATGCCCAGTTAATTTGTTTTACATATTTTTAGTTGTCCAGCTAAGTTCATTCTATTTTTTTTTTTTTTTTTTTTGGTAGAGACGGGGTCTTACTCTTAGGCTGGTCTCAAACTCCTAAGCTCAAATGATCCTCCCCCCAGCTCAAATGATCCTTCCCGCTTGGCCTCCCAGAGTGCTGGGATTATAGGTGTGAGCCACCACGTCTGGCCCCACCCAGCTTTTTTGCTCTGGAATTTCTGATTCTTTTTTCCCTTGCATTACCAGCCCCTATTGCCTTCCTTTTTTTTTTGAGACAGAGTCTTGTTCTGTCCGCCCGGGCTAGAATGCCATGACGTCAGCCTAGCTCACGGCAACCTCAAACTGCTGGGCTCAGATGATGTTCCTGCCTCAGCCTCCCAAATAGCTGGGACTATAGGCACGTACCACCACACCTGGCTAATTTTTTCTATTTTTAGTAGAGATGAGGTCTCACCCTTGCTTAGTCAGACTGGTCTCAAACTCCTGACCTTAAGTGATCCTCCCACCTTGGCCTCCCAGAGTCCTAGGATTACAGGCATGAGCCATCTTGCCCATCCTGCCTTTCTTAACTGTTTGAAATTCTTGAGAATGGTATCACAATTTTTTGTTTACCCCAGATACCTTATTTTCTGATCCCTCTGCTCCTGCAACACGATGAACTCTGATTGTTCTCTAGACCTTCAGCATTGCCCCAAGATATTCCCTTCAAGAATACTCAGCACTGCTGTGTCTTAGATACAAGTTTTTCCTCTTATTTTCTGAATTTTCTGGAATGTATCTTCAAGTGAATTATATATGAGAGGTAAACTTTGAAAAGTATTCAGACCTTTGAATACTTACAGGTCTGAAAGTCTCTATATTAATTTCTTACAATTTAATGTTATGGAATTGTGGTATGAAAATTTACTGTCAGAACTTTGACTATGTTCCTTCTTGCATTAACCATTATTGATGGTCTGATGCCTCCTTTATGAGTCTTGTGACTTGTTCACCTGACCCTCACACAAATTTAGGATTGTTCCTTTGTCCTTAAATTTACAGCATTTTGCTTAGACTTTTTCTATTTTGATGCTTGTGTCTTTCACTGTGTTTCCAGTTTCTAGGAGATTTTTTTGTTGTGTTCTAAATCTTCTTTCTGGACTTTTTGTTTTTAATTTATTAAACAAATTCTTTCCATGTGTTTATTTGGTTTCATTAAAGACATATTTTCTGGTAATTTGGCCTATTCGTTTAGTATCAGAGATTAGGAGGATGGCAGTTTGTAGTTTTGTATATAGACTTTGCATTAGCCCCCCACCCCCTGTGGAAAAAAAAAAAAAGACTTTGCATTAATTCTTCCCTCCTATTTTCAGTCCCACTTCATCAGACCCGGTATTTTTAAGTCTTTAACCTTTGTGGGATTCTCCAGGGCAGATATGCTCCATCTGACTATACCATTGACCCTTGAATGTGGGGGTTGGGGTACTGACCCCTGCATAGTCAGAAATCTGCATGTAACTTGACTCCTCCAGAAAAGCTTACTGTTGCTCCAAAGCTTACAGATAACATTAATAGTCGGTTAATACATATTTTGTGTGTTATGTGTGGTATATACTGTACTCTTACAATAAAGTAAGCTAGAGAAAAGAGTCACTAAGAAGATCAGGCTAGGCATGGTGGCTCATACCTGTAATCCCAGCACTTTGGTAGGCCAAGGTGGGAGAATCACTTGAGGCCAAGAGTTCAAGACCAGCTTGGGCAACATAGTGAGACCCTGTCTCTACAAAAAAATTTTAAAAATCAGCCAGGTGTGGTAGTGCATGCCTGTAGTCCGAGTTACTCAGGAGGCTGAGGATCATTTAAGCCCAGGAGTTGCAGTGAGGTATGATCATGCCACTGCACTCTAGCTTGGGTGACAGAGTGAGAACTTGTCTCAAAAAAAAAGAAAAAAATCGTGAGGAGGAGTAGAAGGGTTGTGTCTTACTTTCTTGGGTGGCAGATATAGAAGAAAATCTGTGTATGAGTTGACCCAGTGCAGTTTAAACCTGTGTTGTTCAAGGGTAAGTTGTAATCTGCTTTGAGTGTACTCTGAGCTATAGTTTCCTTTTTCCTGCTTTAACACTCCTCTGTCCACTTCTTTCCCCTAGAATTTGTTATATTTTCTCATTTCTTCATTTTTCTACCTCCCCATTCTTCGTCATCGTGGATTTATATAGATGCATTTTAATGTTTTTTAGCCGTAGATTTTAATGAGCTCTTTGGAGAGAGGAGGTAATTTGGAATTCAAATTGATCTCTATGAATTTTACACACAGCTTTATCATTAAAGATGATATTTTAATTTTATTTCTTTTCCTTATTTTTCATTGCTTTTAATAGGAGATAGCATAAATATCATAACTTGCCATTTTTACTTGGATAGCTTCTTTTTCCAAAGCCAATTAAATGTTTCCGACACAAGAATTTAATATTAAAGTTGTATACATTAATGTACATTTAAAAGTAATTGAATTTGCTTTTAGAGTGTACATCTTTTCATTAGAATCTTAAAAATTACTAAGTTAGAAGGTACTTAAGAGTGTATGTAAGTCTGGCCTTATTATGGTTTTAAAAATACATGTCTTAAAAACCTCAAATAGTGCCGGGCGCGGTGGCTCACGCCTGTAATCCTAGCTCTCTGGGAGGCCGATGCGGGCGGATTGCTTGAGCTCAGGAGTTCGAAACCAGCCTGAGCAAGAGCGAGACCCCGTCTCTACTAAAAATAGAAAGAAATTAATTGGACAACTAAAAATATATAGAAAAAATTAGCCGGGCATGGTGGCACATGCCTGTAGTCCCAGCTACTCGGGAGGCTGAGGCAGGAGGATCGCTTGACCCCAGAAGTTTGAGGTTGCTGTGAGCTAGGCTGACGCCACGGCACTCACTCTAGCCGGGGCAAAAGAGTGAGACTCTGTCTCAAAAAAAAAGACCTCAAATAGAGTAACTTCCTTACAGGGCAGTTCAGTCCATTGGTCTGTTCAAATAGTTTAGAAACCAAATTTTGTCTCCATAGAATTTCCACCCAGTGGTTCTACTTTTACCTAAAACTAAGTACAACAGTCTGCTATAATTTCTTTGTGGTAACCCATTGCTTTTGTTCCAAATAAAGTATTATCAGTTTCTTCTGTTTCATCAGAAGGCTTGATTTTTATACTTGTCCCCATTCTTGAGTCAGTTAGCCATGATTTAGTTCTTTGTTATGTTTTCAAATTATTTTGACCAGAATTCAATATAACACCAGTAGTGGCTTTACTAGTGCTTGCTTATTCTCTTATTTTTGCTAACATGTCAGCTCTTATCTGTATCTTTAAATAAAAAAAGTTAGCATGGAGAACATTTTGTATTTATACATAAAAGAATGAAAACATGCTCACACACTTTCTTAATTATGTTTGTATTTGTGATAGGAAGTTTTTATTTTTTTGAGCAAGCCCTGATAGGGTGACCTGTACTTATTAAATGACGACATCAATTGATACTATTCAGAGTTTTTAAAATGAGTACTTGGCTGTCAGGTAACAAAATGACCAGTGAAGATTAGATTTTTCTAAAATTTTTATTGTGTCAGTCCCCATATGCTATTAATATGTAATCATGTGTATCAAAAAACCCCCACTTTTCTATGTTTTTTGCTTGCCTATAGTCTTACATTGGGTTCGGAACTTTCTGAATACAAATGATTGACTGTATGCTCTTTAAATTGATACATCCTCGGTTTCAGATCCTGAATAAATTTGTACTGTCTTAAATATCAACATAACATTGTTTCAGCATATAATGAATACATGAATTTTAAGAAAGCTTTGTTTGACTAAGGTGAATCCACCTGTTTTCATTAATTTAGTTATAACTGCCTATTCTGTTTTTGTTGTTGTTATTACTGCTTTTGTGCCCCTCCCCTCCCATTGTGAGAGTTTTCAAAGTGTTTTGATTATGGTACTTCTTTAATATGGATTATCTTATTTTGACTTTAGCCTTATTTCTCAGTGTTTATAAGGAAAAAAAGCAGTATTTGAATTTCTAAAATGACTTTAGTGTGATTTGATTTTTGTCGCCATTTTCGCAAAGGTTTATTTTATCTTGCAAAGAGGTTTTTTCATCAATCAAGGTATACTGCGAGTGGTTTTGTTGTTTTCTTACTTTGTATAATTGTAGATCATGAATATAGTCTTCATCATTAGTTATGTCTGTTCCCTAAATTCTCTGAAGTTGGTAACAAATGTTCTTACACTTTGAGAGAAAATTAGACTACCTGGATGATCTTTTATTCCTTTTAACTTATATTTAATTAAAATATGAATATTAAATGTAAATAATCAACATATAAAGATGCCATAACAATCATTTTCATTGTTTGTGTGCTGCCATCTTCCTCTATATCCTTGGTTATTGTGGAATTTTCACTTACTAAATCAAAGATACTTCTATATTTCTACAGTGAAACTAATTGTCATTGTAAATTTTAATAACTACATGACCTACCATGTTGATGTGTTGCAAATTTTACAAGTTTTAACTTAATGCTGGACACAGGTTGTTTCCAAATCTTGACTATTACAGGATAATGTGCAGTGAGTACTTAGGAATGTTTCTTTATTTAGTTTCTAGTTTAATAAAGTCCGTGAGTTAAATTTCCATGATTGAACTTACTGGATCAAAAAATATAAAAACAGTGCTTGCTCTGTGTACTGTTGTATTGTTTTCCTTAGACAGATTAAACCAATCTGTAATGTTTCTAGAGGTCAGAGACTATAAACTTTTTTTTTTTTTACAGTTGTGCCAGTGATAGTGAGGTAGATATAAAATATTTCTTCAAGTTTAACTTTTCGTTTTCTTTGATTAGTAGTGACAGTGAACACCTTTTAAGTGAATTTACATGTGTATTGTCTGTTATTAAATACCTCTTCATGTCTTTGACCCGTTAGCTTATTTGATTCTTGATGTTCTTCATTGATTTGCTCCACTGTCCCACCCCACCCTCTAATGGTGCCATTGAGTGAGTCTAAACATTTTAAAGACCACTTCTCCAAAAACAGTGCGTAGTTCTCTGCTAGAAATACATTGAGTCCTTAAACTGAGTTTTTTTTCTTTTTCTTTTTAAAGCTCTGACAGATCCAAATGCTTCTGCTGCCCAGCAGGCTGTTCTCCAACAGCACATCAATAGTCTAACATACTCACCTTTTGGAGACTCACCTCTCTTCCGGAATCCAATGTCAGATCCTAAGAAGAAAGAAGAGGTAAATTTAAGAATGCTTTTGTGAAATATCTTCTCAGAGAAAAAGAAACTAAACATGCAGGTTGTAACTTCTTGCCAGTATAGATTAAGGAATTAAGCAAAGCTAGGTCTAATTAATTTTTTTAAGACATTATTTTAGTAGGCTGGGGTAAATTATTTTTGCTGTATCTGGAAGACAGCGTGGCGAATAGTGAAATGAGAACTAGACTGAAGGTCAGGGTAAGCTGAGGGTTTTCAACGCCCAGAAATAAGGCAGATATATTATGGTTCTCATTTTACAGTTAAGCAAACTACGGCTCAGAGAGACTGACTTTCCTCAAATCATGGTGTTCTTAGGTGGTAAAGTCAAAATTATACCTCCTGATTTCTACGTAGCTTGTCTTAATCTCTTATAACTCTAGAGGGCAAAGAAATGATCTTTTGTTCACTGTGGTATGGTGTTAAAAATATACTCTTTGGTCTGTTTGATCCTTATTTCACCATACAATCACAATCTGTGAGACATTTGGAAAGTCAGTTTGCCTCTTCTGAATCTGTTTCTTCAGCCATAAAATGTGAATAGTAACACTGTTCAGTTTTGAGGATTAAATGAAATAGTGTGTACCTGGCCCATATTTGGTCATTCAGTGTACAGAAATTATTATTCAATCATTCATCCCTTAGCTGTTGTTCTTGTTTTTTTTCTTTGTTTTTTCAGGTAGAGTCTCACTCTGTTGCCTAGGTTGGAGTACAGTGGTGCAGTCATAGGTCACTGCAACCTCAAACTTCTGGGCTCAAGAAATCTTCCTGCCTCCATCTCCTGAGTAGCTGGACTATAGGCAGGCACCACTATGCCCAGCTAATTTTTTTTTATTTTTTGTAGAGATGGAGTTTCACTGTATTGCCTAGGCTGATCTTGAACTCTTGGCCTCAAGCTATGCTTCAACCTGGGCCTCCCAAAGTGCTGGGATTATAGGAAGCCACAGAGCCCAGCCTGTTTTTTGTTTTTTGTTTTTTTTTTTTTTGAAGACTTTATTTAAAAAAGAAAAAACAACAGACGAGATCTTGCTGTGTTGCCCTAGCTGGCTTGAATTCCTGGGCTCAAGCCATCCTCCCACCTCAGCCTCTTGAGTAACTGGGACAACAGGTGCAGTGGCCCAGTAGCTTTATTCTTAAGTTAATCTTGTAAGCCATATATAAGAACCAAAATATGAATATGGAAGTACTTTTTAAAGTGCTGTGTAAATATAAGTTGTGATTAGAGAAAAATTACATGTTATTCATGCAGCCTAATGTTAGGTGCCTAAACACGTGCTAGGCACTGTGTGTAATTCTGAGGATACAAAATGAAAATAAACAAGAACTTCCTCTCTAAGAGGTTTTTATCCAGTGAGGAAGATCAGACTTGTAAGAATTTAAATTACTCTAGCTCAGTATAATATATGCAATAATAGATAGAAGAGCCCATCAGCCGATGAATGGATAAACAATGTTGTATGTCTATGTGATGGGATATCATTCAGCCATAAAAGGGAATGAAGTGCTGATACATGCTACAACCTGGATGAACCTTGAAAACATGCTAAGTGAAAGGAGCCAGCCACAGGAGTCCATTTATATAACATGCCCAGAATAGGCAAATCCATGGAAAAAGAAAGCAGATTCATGGTTGCAAACGGATTGGGGAGGTATAGGGTTTCTTTTTTGAAATGATGGAAGTGTTCTGAAGTTAGATAGTGGTGGGTTGTATAACCTTGTAAATATACTAAAAACCACTGAATTAAATGTGTTAAAATGGTGAATTCTATGTTATGTGAGTTTTATCTTAATTAAAAATATAATAGGGAAGAGCATAGATGCTTGGGTGAATTTGTTATTGCTTTATTTTCAGAGGAGGTAACATTTAATATTTTGGATGGATATGTAGAAATTGGCAAGTCTAGATCAAGCATACCAAGAAAAGGCATAGAATTGTGAAAAATCACAAAAATCTGGAAAGAACAATGATTCATTGTTACTGAAGTGTGAACAGTCTGCACTGGGAAAAGGAGAATGTATTGTGACAGGCTAGATATGCTGGACGTTGTTATTTGGTGTGATTATATAATTTCGTATATACTATTCAGGAACAAAATATGGAACATGCTGAAGATGCTTTAGAAACATTGTAGAGGTGCCATCTATACCAACCTAAAATCTTAATTTAGTTGTGTCTCCACTCATAGTTTCCTTAAGAATCAGGAAAAGTAACTTTATTTTTATTCCCAGTTCATAGTGTTTGACTCACGGTAATTGTTAACGTTTACTAAAAGATGGATAAATATAAATTAATATCTGTCTTTTTTTCAGAGATATTTGGATTACGTAGAAATTGAATGTCAGTTCATCACTGAGTCTGTTTTTCTTAAAACATGAGATTTTTTATTTAATTGAAAATGTCTATGTCTTAGGATTTTTGTGGTATCATTTTTTTCTTAACATTTTTTCTTAACATTGTTTTCATTGTTTTGCAAAAAGCAAAACTATTGCAAGCTACATTCTCTTTCATAGAATGAAGATAACAGACAAAGTATATTAATAATATTCTGTGTTAGTACATTTTAATTTACAAAACACTTTTCAGATTCAGTATCTCAATTGCATTTTAAAAGATATCAAACAAATCTGTTGAAACAGGGGCTAGAAAGATGAGTAAAAATCAATTATAGAGAAATACATTGCTGAGCATCCCAAATCTGAAATCCAAAATGCTCCAAAATCCAAAATCTTGAGCTCAAAGGAAGTGCCCATTGGGGCATTTTGGATTTTTGCATTTGGAGTGCTAACTGGTGAGTATAATTGCATATATTTCAAAGTCTGAAAGTCCAAAATCTAAATGAAACACATCTGTTCCCAAGCATTTTTGGTTAAGGGATATTCATCTTGTACAAAGTTGGGTGTTAACACCTTTGTTTTATGGGAGCTGAGAATTCAAGAGGTATCTAGAGGGTGAATAGCTGAAATGAGGTTTGAATTCTGGTCTTCTGATTTTTAAGGCCAGTGCCATACATTTCAATTAAACTGGAACTGTCATTGATGCTTTTCTTTTGTTTTTCAGAGATTGAAACCAACAAATCCAGCAGCCCAGAAGGCTCTTACTACACCTACCCATTATAAACTGACACCCCGCCCTGCCACTAGAGTCCGGCCAAAGGCATTACAAACAACAGGCACAGCCAAGTCACATCTCTTTGATGGGCTGGATGACGATGAACCATCCCTAGCCAATGGAGCGTTCATGCCCAAGTGAGTTTATTTTTGTAAATATAAATACAAAATATTGAGATATATATATATAATTATTTAAATGCATTACAAATGTAATGCACTTTGGTTTTTTTTCTTTTTTTAATTTGAAAAGTAGGGAACATCACAGAGAAGAATAAAAAGGACCTAGGTAATCACTTCAGGGATAACCACAGTTAACATATTTTGTATAAATAAATAATAAATATATTTTGATGAATGTACTTCTAGTTTACATATGCATGTTGTTTTATTTAGAGAAATTAGTCCCTTTTTTAACAACTCAAAATGGTTAAACAGATTAAGAAGAATATTTCTTTTTTTTACATTACTACATAAGAATTACGTATAGAACCAATAATAAAATAATTACACAGAAAAAAATCCAAGGAAGTATGTAGAAGAATTGTTGATAAACATAGAAAATTATACTTAAGTGAGGCTTTAGAGCAGATATGCCATGGAATGTTGATATATACATTGAAAAAAAAAACCTGAAGAAAATCATGTACCAAACTGTTAACATCATTTAACATCAGGAGAGGAGATTTCAGGGCATTTCATTCCTGGATTGTTTAATTTTCTAGGTACATAGCTAGACAGACAGATACAGATATATACACAACCACAGGCTTTTTTAAACAACATATACTTTTCTAATTAGAAAAAAGATTCGGGGGTTTTTTAAGCTTTGGAAAACAAATGGAAATTGATCACTCTCAGTTCTTTTTCAGTGTTAGTAAGTCGAAAACATTACAGCTCCTTTCTTTCCTTAAAAATATGGCATACTCCTTTTTCACAAAAGAGGGAAGGTCCAGTTTTACACATTTGTTAGAATATCAGTAAATTATTTTGAAGGCAGGGACTGTATTATTCATGTCTGTCCCAGCGTTTTGCACGGAGTATGTGAAGGGGGCTTGGATATACCAGTTCAACCATCAGGTCAGTAGCTCTCCGGGCAATTTTACGGTCATCTTAGGATTTGCAAGCATGCTATACAAATAGAAAGGATTAGTGTGGGGAGTGCATTTTGCTAATTAATGCCACATGACCTCCTTGGCTTTCCTTTTGTGGTGTTCCTGTCAACAGCCCTAAAGTATCAGAAGCATTTTACACAGTTGATCTCTTCCCTCCTTAATTCACTTTCTTAATTGGCTTCTAGGACTCTATAATTTCCTAGTTTTCTTCCTGCTTCACTGGTTGCTCCTTCTCAGTTGTCTTTGCTAGTTCTTCTTTTTCCCAAGCTCTTTGAATTGAAATGCCCTGGACTCAGTTCCTTTCTTTTATTTCTTTTCTTTTCTTTTTCTTTTGTTTTGAGACAGGGTTTCACTCGATTGCCTGCGCTAGAGAACAGTGACATCATCATAGCTCACTGCAACCTCAAACTCCTGTGCTCAAGCAGTCCTCCTACCTCAGCCTCCCAAATAGCACTCATCATCATGCCCGGCTAAATTTTTCTATTTTTAGTAGAGACAGGGTCACGCTTTTGCTCAGGCTTGTCTCAAACTCCTGAGCGCAAGCAATCCTCCCACCTGGGTCTCCCAGAGTGCTAGGATTACAGGTGTGAGACACCATGCCCAGCCCTGTCCTTTCTTTTATTAGCACTCTCCACCTTCTTATCTTCTTTTTTTCCCTTTTTATACCAGCACTTTTCATCTTCTAATATATAATTTATATCTTTTTATTTATTTATTTTTTTTTTTGAGACAGAGTCTCACTGTGTTGCCCAGGCTAGAGTGCCGTGGCGTTAGCCTAGCTCACAGCAACCTCAAACTCCTGGGCTCAAGCAATCCTCCTGCCTCAGCCTCCCGAGTAGCTGGGACTACAGGCATGTGCCACCATGCCCGGCTAATTTTTTCTATATATTTTTAGTTGTCTGATTAATTTCTTTCTATTTTTAGTAGAGACGGGGTCTCGCTCTTGCTCAGGCTGGTTTCGAACTCCTGACCTCAAACAATCCGCCCGCCTCGGCTCTCCCAGAGAGCTAGGATTACAGGCGTGAGCCACCGCGCCCGGCCTATATCTTTTTATTTTTGTTTTCTCCCTCTAGACAAGCTCTAATATAGGTAGGGAGTTTTTTCTGTCATTTAAAATACTCAGCAGTTCCTGTGACATAGTAAGTGATCCATAAATGTTGAACATATGAACGGATCTTAGGAGGCATAAATGGAGCTAAATAGTAATAGAGAATCTCCCAACTCTACTCTTGTAACCACTCATGGGAGGAAGGGCTTAAAAATAATGATCATGTATGTAGCTCAAGAAGTAAGAGAGTATAGGAATTAAAAAAGTCTTTCAACTTTCTGCTGCAGCTTTTCATTATTGAGTTGTTAACATCTAGAATTTAGTATTAACTGTATGTAGCTGTCTAAAGAAAATGGCACATACCTCTATTCTCTTCCTGAATTTAAGCCTTAGACCACCATTTTATGGCTCATCAAATTGCTGCCATGTTATATCACAGATAGTAAAGGATTCCTGAGGAATTCTATCAATATGACCAGCATTAGAACAGTATTCTGTTTGTTCTGAAAGATGAATTTGGTAGATTGTCAAGTGTATGAGAACCTTGCTGGTGCCAAGTCTTTTTCCATTTGTCTTTCATACTGGTCAGGGGACATTTACTACAGAGCAAGCCAGCAATATTCTTTATTCTGAATCATAAAATTTGGAAGTATTCTTTAATACCTTTATTCATTCCTTCAACAATGTCAAACAAACATTTATTGAGAGACTTCTAAGCACAAAGTGTGATGGACACTCGGAATGCTGCTGTGAAAAAGACTTGTCCCTCTGGATTGAGTTCACAATCTATGGGAAAACAGTAATCATAAGTATGATAAGAGACAAAGAGAAGTAGAGCTTGCCGCCAGAAGAGAGACTAATAGAATAATCAAGGAAAGCTCAGAAGATGTGTTGTTTAAACTGAAACCTCATAAATAAGTAGTAATTAGCAAGGTGAAGATGGATAGGACAAGTTGTCAAGCATAGGAGATGTTTTGGTATGTTTCTGGTTTGCATATATATTTTTAAATGGATATGATTTTATTTCCCAGTGTTCTTTTTCAAATGTCACTTAATTGAATGGTAATCTATCATGTATTTATCAAATTAGGTTTTGTTGGACTTCCCTGTTCTTTGGCTTCTTGTGTCTGTTCTTTGTACCTGTCTCACTTAATATTTCTGATCCCACTCATTTTCAGTTTCGCTTGACACTGTTTTTATGTTTCATGTTTAGTGCCTTGTTTTCTAGTTGTAGGTATGTTCTGCATGTGAAATGTTTAATCTCTCCTCTACCCTTCCCGTTTTAGTCCATTCCAGTTATTTTTTCTGTAATGTTCAAATTGTCCCATCATTGGCCAGGAAGAAGCCCTTTTAGGTTGGCTGCCAAAACATTTCCACATGCCTCAGTAGTGTTTGGTAACTTCCTTGCTTGTAGGATTCAGTCTGTAAAATTTGGTCCAGGATTTTTGCTCTCTGTCTTCATGAGTTAGATTGGTCTGATGTTCCTTTCCTGCAAAGTCCCTACCCAGTTTAGTTACAAGGGTTATACAGACCTCATAAACAAATTGTAGAGTATTTCCTCTTTCTATTTTCTTGAAGATTTTGTGTAAGATGGTAATTTTTTTTCATCAAATGTTTGGTATTGATTAAGGATATCCGGGTCTGAAGTAGTATTACTAAGAAAGCATTTTAAAAAATTAGTGATTTAATTTAAGAGTTATAGGATTACTCAGGTTTGCTATTTTTTTTTTTGAGACATAGTCTCATTGTCTATTTTTTATATTTTGAGTCATTTTTGGCAAGTTCTATTTTTATAGTATTCAGCTAATTAAAAGTTTTAAATATATTGATGTAAAGTTGCTTAAAAATACCTTTATCTTTTTTATGTTAGTAGAATCTGTAAGGATGTCCCCTTTTTCGTTCCTGATGTTGGATTTTTATTGTGCCTTCTCTTTTTCTCAATCAGATTGGTTGGATATCTACCAATTTTATTGGTCATTTCAAAGGATTGATTAGTGACATTATTGATGTTCTCTATTCTATGATTGTTTCCTATTTCATTAATGTTTTATTTTATATATTTTACTTTCATTAATATTTAATCTTTACTAATTTCTTCTGCTCCCTTTTGGTATTAATTTTCTTTTCTTTTTCTAAATGGGAGTTTAGTTCTTTGATTTTTCAGCTTTCCTTCTTTCAAATGTATGTAGCTAGAGATATAAGTTTCCATTTTAGTTCAGCTCTATTTTTTAAGTTATCTTTTCATTAATTTCTAGATTTAATGCAAAAATGGGTTATTTCAAGTCTGAAATTTGAGACTTGCTTTAATGGCCCAACATAATGTTAGCGTGTAGATGTTTTTTGTGTACTTGAAAAGAATATGTACTCTGTAGTGGCTGGATATGGTATTCTTAAATTAGGTTAAGTCTGCTAACCATTTAGGACTTCTATATACATACTGATTTTGTTTGGGTACTTTAGCTTCTTTAACTTATAGTATCACAGAAAAAACATCTACAATCTTCCTAAATTTATCCATTTTAATATTTAACAGCCTTTCTACATGTCTTCCTAAATCAACTTGTGATTAACCTAAGTTATTTTTTTCTTTTTAATTTTTGTTGTGGTAGAACATATGTAACATAAAATTTACCATTTTTAAGTGTACAATTCAATGGCATTGAGTACATTTGCAATATTTTTAAGCCATCACCACTATTTCCAGAACTTGATCATCCCAAACAGAAACTCTATACCTATTAAGCAATAATTTCCTTTTTTCTCATCCCTCCCATCCTTGGTAACGTCTATGTTACTTTCTATCTATATGCATTTACCTAACTGAGATACATCATACAAGGAGAAGCATATAATATTTTTCGTGTCTGGTATATTTCACTTAGCATGTTTTCAAGGTTCACTTGTGCTGTAGCATATGTCAGCAATTCATTCCCTTTTATGGCTGAATACTCCATAGTATATATGTACCACATTTTGTTTATCCATTCATCTGTTAATGGATACTTGGGGTGTTGCCACCTTTTAACGATTGTGAATAATGCTGCTATGAATGTTGGTGTATCTATTTGAGTCTCTACTTTCAATTTTTTTGGGTAGATAACTAGAGCTGGAATTGGTTATACATTAATCCTATGTTCAACCTTTTAAGGAACTGTAAAACTGTTTTCCTCAGAAGCTGCACCATTTTACAGTACTACCAGCAGTGTTGAATTTCATTTAATTAGCATTTCTTATTTCCAGTTTGTTTATTTAGAATAACCATCCAGCCAGACGTGGTAGCGCATGCCTCTAGTTTCAGCTACTCGGGAGGCTGAGGCAGGAGGATTGCTTTGAGTCCAGGAGTTCTGGGCTGTAGCACGCTATGCCAATTGGGTGTCCGCACTAAGTTTGGCATCAATATGGTGACCTCCCGGGAGCAGGGGACCACCAAGTTGCCTAAGGAGGGGTGAACTGGCCCAGGTCGGAAACAGAGCAGGTCAAAACTCCATGCTGATCAGTAGAATAGCCATCCTAATCAGTGTGAAGTGTTATCTCATGTGGTTTTGATTTGCATTTCCCTTATGACTAAAGATGTTGAGCATCTTATTATGTACTTATTGACCATTTATCTTCTTTAAAGAAATGTCTTGTTTCCTTTTGTGTCTGGTTATTTTTTTATTGTATGTCTGTTATTATATTTACAAGACTGTGGCAATAACTGGAGTTCATGGATGATGATATTAACCTTCAGAGATTTTTTTTTTTTTAACCCAGTGCGTATTAGATGATTCAAACCTGAATTTATGACTGTGCTTTTTACTTTTAGTTCTCTCTTAACATTTGCTGTAGAGACTTCCCAGGTTACAACACAATGAGTGGCATTCACTAATGTCCCCATCCCCCATCCCCTTGGTGAGCCTAGTTTCCTCTGTGTAATCCTGCAAAACTGTCAAGAGTTCCATCAGTTTTTTAGCCTGCCCCTTGGAATTAGAAAAGTCCCCAGGAGAAAGTCAAAACATGAGGCACTTCCCTGTGCTACTGTTCTTTCCAGCTTCCTGGTTCAGTCTCTTTATTTAGTATCTTTTATTTTTTTTATTATCTCAGTACCTATAAGCTGCTCTAGCTTTTCTGGTTACAATCCCTAGTAGGATTAGTGTGCATTACCTAGTCCACCATTAATGGGAAAGAAAAATAACAGTTTAATTTTCAAAATAACATGCCTTCGATGTCAAGCGCCTGTTTCATTGGCATATGTAGTACTTAATTATGTTATTACAATAAGGAGTATATCTAGCCTGTATAGGTTTGGAACCAATGCTACCAATGTTTATTAGCATGTAACTAAGTTGTTGAGACTAGAAATATACAAATATATGAGAGCCTACTAGCTATAGTTGTTTAACATACATGGGCCTTCGCTTTTTTTTTTTTTAAAGAGGAAATGGAGTGCATAGTTCATCCAGTGAGGTTTTTGTTTGTTTGTTTTTGAGACAGAGTCTCTCCCTGTTGCCCTGAGTAGAGTGCCCTGATGTCAGCCTAGCTCACAGCAGTCTCAAACTCCTGGGCTCAAGTAATTCTCCTGCCTCAGCCTCTCGAGTAGCTGGGACTATAGGTGCCCACCACAATGCCCAGCTAATTTTTCTATTTTTTAGTAGAGATGGGCTCTCACTCTTGCTCAGGCTGGTCTCAAGCTTCTGAGCTCAAGCCATCCTCCCGCTTTGACCTCCCAGAGTGCTAGGAGTACAGGCGTGAGCCACTGCACCCGGCCAGTGAGTTTTTAAGTGGATATTGATTAAGGTCTCTTCTACATGATGCTCCTGCTTGAAGCTTATGTACTGTAAGAGGTTCTTGCCTTAAGTAAACCCACAGTACAGAAACCTAAACTTTTAGGAATTTGTGATCATTTGCATCATTAGATATCTGAGTTTATTTTTATTTCTTTTTTATTTCAGCATATTACGGGCTACAAATGTTTAGGTTACATATATGTTGCCTTTGCACCGCCCGAGTCAGAGCCTCAAGCGTGTCCATCCCCCAGACAGTGCACACCGCACCCATTAGATGTGAATATATCCAGCCCCACCCTTCCTCCCCCCAATATCTGAGTTTTTTACTCCCTTACTTTCTTGTCATCTTTTTAAAAAAATCTTTCTCAGCTAGGTGAGGTGGCTTACGTCTATAATCCTAGCACTCTGGCAGGCCAAGGCAGGAGGATCACTTGAGCTCTGGAGTTTGAGACCACCTTGAACAAGAGCGAGACCCCACCTCTACTAAAAATAGAAAAAATTAGCCAGGTTTGGTGGTATGTGCTTGTAGTCCCAGCTATTTGGGAGGCTGAGGCAGGAGGATCACTTGAGCCCAGGAGTTTGAGGTTGCAGTGAGCTGTGATGATGCCGCTGTACTCTAGCCAGGGTGACAGAGTTGAGACTCTTCAAAAAAAATTTAAAAATTGGTAAAATCTTTCTCATTTAGTCAACAACTATCTATTCACCTGTTTTCTTCAAGACAATATGCTGAATTCTATGGAAGAAGCAATCATATTAATAAATCCTTACTGCCAAAAAAAAGAGAGAGAGAAAATATTTATTTATTTAAACTAAGATGGGAAGAGAGAGAAAGCATTTAAAGAGAAAGACTTGCATAGAAATAATTAAAATACAAGCATAGTGTGGAGTGAACTAAGCATCTGGATAAAGTGCCCAAGGGCTTCAGAGGATAAGGATTTTCAAGGGGATTTCTTGTATTTTGTTTGTTTGTTTGTTTGTTTGTTTTGTTTTTAAATTAAGAGACAAGGTCTCATCTTTTGCCCAGGTTGGCCTCAAAACTCCTGGCCTCAAGCAGTCCTCCTGCCTCAGCCTCCCAAGGTGGTGGGATTACAAATGTGAGCCACCGCACCCAGCCTAGATTCCACTTTGATTTGAATGTATTTAGCTTTATTCTTTCAAACACCAGAGTGTAATATATTTCAGGCCTTATGTTCTGGTTATAAACTTCTAGGAAGAGTTTATGAATGAAACTTCTTAAGTCATTTTTTGTTGTATAAGAGTTGAGCAGAAGTGTACTTCTGGACTTCAGTTTTTAAAATATGTCTGCGACATAACTGTATGCCTGAGTTATTTTTTTCTTTTGGTCTTTATAGAAAGAGCATTAAGAAGTTGGTTTTGAAGAACCTTAATAATAGCAATCTCTTTTCTCCTGTTAATCGTGATTCAGAAGATCTAGCCTCACCATCTGAATATCCGGAAAATGGAGAGAGGTAAACTGAATTCTATTTTTAGTTTCTCTTAGTAGAGAGCCCTACTATTTTGAAGAGATTCTGAGGTTAGAATTTTATGAAAATTTATAAAGTTTGATGAATGTTACATAGAAGTATTGCAGCTTATGAGCACCTAGAAATTAAGTCATATTTTCCTTCTTGAGTTCTTTAGACCTTAAAACTATTGGAATTCTGACTCAGTTCTGCAAAACTATTTTGGTATCCACGTATAATATCTTGTTTTGGACGTGGCTAGCATGCATTTGACACCCTTTAAAATGAGGGATAATTTGTCTGTGATGATTATTAAAGTAATAAATGCTCATTGTAACAAAAAAGTCAATATAGAGTATATAAAGGATGATGCAAAAGTGTATGTATTGTTAATATTTTGGCATACATTTTTCAACATTAGGAATTTGTTTATAATCATATTCGTATAAATATACTGATATATTGTAAAAATTATGCATGAATGATATATTTTGTAACCTGATTATTTTCTCGTAGCCCTTCATATCTTTATGAATGTATCTGCCGTCTCTTTTATTTATTTATTTTTGAGACACAGTCTTGCACTATTGACTGGGCTAAAACACAATGGTGTCATCATAGCTCTCTGCAACATCAAACTCCTGGGCTGACATGATCCTTGTGCCTCGGCCTCCCAAGTAGCTGAGTCTACAGGCATGTCCCACCATGCCCTGCTAATTAAAAAAAAATTTTTTTAGAGATGGGGTCTTGCTCTATTGCCCAGAGCAAGACTCCTGGCCTCAAAAGTGACCCTCTCATCCCGGCAACCCAAAGTGCTATGATTATAGGCGAGAGCCACTATGCCCGGCCTGCCTCTTTTTTAGTGATGATTGCATAGTCATTGTGAATGTAAGATGACTTAACCAGTGCCCTGTTAGTGGAAATCCAGATTATTTGGCATTGTTCTATTCAAAATGATGCATCAGTAACAACCCTTGTGTGTACATCTTGACACTCCTGTATTTTTCTGTTTGGATAAAATTCTAGTTTGATTTTTTCATTAAGAAAGCATTGGTGATTGTAATATTAAAAATCTAAAATTTTTTACATTTTTTAATCTTGTTATTAACCACCAAGCATATCAATATCCCACATAGTAGAGCATACTTTTTTTTTTATAAAGCCAAAAGTTGATATGCTCAGTTCTATTCCTTTATGAAAGTAGCAGTTAAGGGTATGGAATCTAGAGTTACATGTTTCGTGTTAAAATGTTGACTTTAGTACTTAAAGTGTTTTGATGTTTTGCAAGTTATTTTTCTATGCCTCAGTTTCCTTTTCTGTAAAATAGAGACAATAATTATAACCTATTTCACAAGATTACTGTAAGTATTAAGTGAATTTTTAATACATGGAACTACGTAGAACAGTGTCAGGCATTTAGTAAAAGGTCAGTAAGGGTTAGCTTTTATCATTGTTATTACTACTAAAACGGGCTAAGATATTTGCTTTTTTTTCTCCCTTTTCAGATTTAGTTTCCTGAGCAAACCTGTTGATGAGAATCATCATCAGGATGGAGATGATGATTCCCTTGTGTCACGTTTTTATACTAACCCTATTGCCAAACCCATTCCTCAAACCCCAGAGAGTGCAGGAAATAAACACAACAGCAGCAACAGTGTGGATGATACCATTGTTGCATTAAACATGCGTGCTGCTTTGCGAAATGGGCTGGAAGGAAGCAGTGAAGAAACCTCTTTCCATGATGAGTCACTGCAAGATGACCGAGAGGAAATAGAAAATAATTCTTACCATATGCATCCAGCAGGTCAGATTCAGATTAATACATGGTTAATCTCTTGAGATAACTTGTTTATCTCTTGTTTGTCACAGATTTTCAACATATTGGAAGTCAGCTATGTGAACTTCTAAATGTTTTTATTGTATTTTATAGAGGTTAATATTTAAACACTTTTTAGTTATGTTTTAGTTGGTTTCTAACTCACGTAGTTTTTTAACCTTTGGAGTAGGTAAAATTGATAAAAGCTTTTAATTATCCTGGTGTAGTTTAAAGAGCACAACTTTTATAGCCAAAGAGACTATCATGATACTTTTCCTAGCTTTTTAATCTCAGATAGATTGTTAATTAAAATGAGAGTGATAATTATTTGCTACTTTATAAGGTTATTGGAATTTGAGTTAAATTAGGTATATGAACCATAATGCCTGACATTTATAGCCTTTCAAAATGGTAGCTGTTGCTGTGGTTATCACCTCAGTTTTGTGCTTTCCCCTACACATGCCACAACAAAGACTAATCCATTAAGTAAGTAATATAAATTACAAAACTGGAGTTTCTCTATCTTTGCTTTTTTTCTTTGTTGACATAACATCTCAATTGCGTTTTTGGTAAATGCCATTACTTTTTTTTTTTTTACTGAGGTAAAATTTATATGCAATGAAGTTCATAGATCTTAAGTGTTCGTTTTGATTAATTTTGATACATATATACTATACTCAGGTATCCAACCCTCCAATCAAGATAGAGAACATTTCTTTCACCCTGGAAAGTCCCTTTTCCAGAAGTTAACCATACTCCTGGTTTCTGCCACATAGATTACTTTAGCCTATTCTTAAACTTCATATAAATAGAATTATACGATATATAGTGTTTGTGATTCAATATAATTTTTATGAGATTTTATCCATGATGTATATATTAACAGTTTATTCTTTTTATTGCTATGTTGTAGTATTCCATTATAGAAATATGCCACATTTTGTTTATCCATTCTTTATTAATGAACATTTGGGTTGCTTTTTTTTGTTTTGATTTATTTTGTTTTTGTTTGTTTCTTTTTTAAGAGAGAGGGTCTTACTCTGTCACCTAGGCTGGAGTGCAGTGGCCCAATCATAGCTCACTGCAGCCTCAAACTCTTGGCCTTAATGATCCTCCCACCTCAGCCTCCTGAGTAGCTGGGATTACAAGCATGCACCAACACACCTGGGTAATTTTTTAACTTTTTTGTAGAGACAGAGTCTCTCTATGTTCCTTAGGCTGGTCTCAAACTGCTGGCCTTAAGCAATCCTCCTCCCTCTGCCTCGCAAATTGCCAGGATTACAGGTGTGAGCCACTGTGCCTGGCCGTGGTTTTACAGTCCTTCTTGAAGTCTTTGCAAAATTATTCTGTATCTAGTTATCTAGTTGCCTTCATATATATCTTCTGATCACTTGGTACCCTAAGGAAACTTTGTACTTTCACATTAAAAACTGCAAGTAAAGGCTGAGCGCGGTGGCTCAACGCCTGTAATCCTAGCTCTCTGGGAGGCCGAGGCAGACGGATTGTTTGAGCTCAGGAGTTCGAAACCAGCCTGAGCAAGAGCGAGACCCCGTCTCTACTAAAATTAGAAAGAAATTAATTGGACAACTAAAAATATATAGAAAAAAATTAGCTGGGCATGGTGGCGCATGCCTGTAGTCCCAGCTACTCGGGAGGCTGAGGCAGAGGATCGCTTGAGCCCAGGAGTTCAAGGTTGCTGTGAGCTAGGATGACGCCACGGCACTCTAGCCCGGGCAACACAGTGAGACTCTGTCTCAAAAAAAAAAAAAAAAAATGCAAGTAAAGTATCTGTATTTGTGTGTATGTATGCATGTATATCTACATGAATTTGTTATGGTACTACATCTTTTTTTCAAATACCCAGTCAATAAGTTTTATATTGTTTATGTTTTCTCACTGACCTTGTTTGCTGCCACTCAATTTATAGCTCCCTTCCCAAGGGAACTCTAACAGCCCTCTAAACCTGACCAGTGAAAAAGCAAGTATAAAAATGGGCGTTGTAGGAGTTTGAGTTTGATGTGATGTCGGTCAAATACTTTTCTCTCAGAGAGCAAGTTAACCTGATAATCTATTTACAAATAGAAAAAGGAGTGATTAGAATAAGCATACCACTGTGTGCCACTACATTTGTTGAGTTCTTTTTTTGTTTTTTTTGTGGTTTTTTTTGTCTTGTTATCTACTTTTTGTCCTTAATTTTGGATGGATGTATTCTGAGACCCTTTTCCACTTCAGTATTTTTTTCCTTTGGCCATCAAATATCACTTAGGTATCCCTGAAATCTACCTATTGGATGCTTTTCTTAGTAACACTAAGTGCAGGCCTTTAAGTTTCCATTTTTATATGGCACTTTCTTGTGCAAATTTTTCATTTTTATTTTAGCTATCTCTTTGGGAATATAAATTTGAGAGATGCAAGAAGTTTATGGGAGGCTGTAAAACAAAATATTCAGTTTGGTTTTTATCTCCACTTCTACCACTAAATAGCAGTGCAAACCAAGGCAAGTTATTTCCACCTTGGGTTTTGGTATATACTTGTGTATAATAAAATAAAAGGAAAAGTGAATTAATTAAGCCTTTCCCAGAGTATTTTATGGAATGCCTTTTATAGCACAGGATGTTAATGGGTGTCTTTTTAAAAATGTGTTCTGTAGTTAATTAATTCTGGGAAACACTAAGTTAAGCAAAGTTTAATAGACTTCATTATATTTCAAGTTTTTAGAGTCTATGATATGCTATAATATGTATGTTCCTCAAACTTATTTGACTATGAAGCTTTTAGAGAAAAAACAAAACACACAGTTTCTCCTGGGAATAGTGTTTGTTAGAAAACTAGTTTGAGGCCAGGCATGGTGGCTCACTCCTGTAATCCTAGCACTCTGGGAGGCTGAGGTGGGAGGATCACGTGAGCTCAGGAGTTGTAGACAAGCCTGAGCAAGAGTGAGACCCCATCTCTACCAAAAATAGAAAAAGTAGCTGGGTGTCATGGTGTGTGCCTATAGTCCCAGCTACTCAGGAGGCTGAGACAGGAGGATCACTTGAGCCCAGGAGTTTGAGGTTGCTGTGAGCTAGACTGACT